AGTAGCCAAGATGGAGAAACACTGAGCTAAGGAGATCTGGAACATTTATAGTATGAACAGAAGCTCAATCATCTTATGAACAATTTTGTCACACAATTCTGACATTCATTGGGTCATGGGGACATTCACTCATTATTGCATTATGGAACGATTGCTGATAAATATTATTGATTTGCTATAAAAGCTAGCTGGATAATGGAGGCTGTATCCAATAAACCACCCATCCTGAGCTTCACAAGGTCCTTCTTGTGATACCAAGGATAGGTAAGCCTACTGGGAGACAGAGGACAAGAGAGGGAATATGGCTGATGAAGATCTCAGGATTCTTCTCAAAGATTCCTTGCATGTAGAAACGAAGCATGTTTGAAGCAAGGATCCTGGTTCTTCATAAAGAAGCAAAGGAAGATCTAAACTACCTTGAGATCCACCAAGCTTAATGCAGCTCACCCCCTGGCATTTACAGCAAGGGGCTGTGCTTCTCCACCCACATTTTGTAGATACAGATGGTGAGCAAACCCAGGAAGGTCTTCTCCAAAACTGCCATGAGTCCTGGGTGAGATGGATTGATCTTGTTGGGTCATCTTCGTTTCGGTGGTTTTGTGGAGAATTTATTGGCTTTATAGGAAGTGTTTATTGCTTGGTAGACCAGGGAGGAGGGAACTGTAATGGCCTCTGTTTTAGCTGGAACTGGGAAGTTTGGAATGGGCGTCGGGGAGAAGAATCTTGGGAGTACTGGACAATTGTGAGATCTCCTGGCTCACCCCGTGGGTATCTCTCAGCTACTTGAGGCCTGGTCAATTCTTGAGACACAGCTCTCTGCTCTGATGGACCACGTTGGCATTGTTCTAATGTGGTGGGATGCCTTTCCTTGTCTTGATGAGGTCGGTAGACCGGCATTTGAGGTTCTTGACGCCTACTTATGACCTGCCCTGGAACTTGAACTTCTTGGTCCTGTTGGACAACCGAACGTTGTTCAACTCCTTGAGATTGGTGTCTCTGTTGGTCATTCTGATTCTGTCCAAGCGTGACCGAACGGGATTCTTGGTCACAAATTTGGACCACCTGGGGATTCCTGAGCTGGGCAGATGCTGATCTTCTTTCTTCAACCTCCACTTGCTGGTTCCTTCCTCCAGAAGGCCTTTGAAGAGTTTCTCGCAATGGTTCACGGGGGACTTCCCCAGCTGAGATTTGTTCCATCTCTACAGTGGACCGTTGACTTCTTTCCTGTGCCAATGTTTGGGAGGTCCCTCCTTCCTGACGTGTGCCGCTCTGCTCTTCCACTTGACGTTGTTGGGATGATTGTTGGGGAACATTCTGAAGAACATCTTGACTTGCTTCTTGATCTGGGCTGAGGGGTTCCTGAAGACAGCGACGCCTGGGGGGAAGAGCACTTGGATGTCCCTGGGCCTGCCCAGTTCTCATTTCTGACGAAGAACTTTGGAAGGTGAGATTTCCCCTTATCATGTCCTCAATTGATCTCTGAACTGATAGTACCCTCGAGCTTTGTGTTCTTGGGTGAGTAGAAGTCTCTTCCTTTTGGGACTGCTCCTTATCGCCATAACTGGCTTCCAGTCTGGTTCTCCCACTCTCCTGTAACTCAGTCAGTTCCTCTGCATCTAAATTTTTCTTAGGGGGTACAAGTTGCTGGCAAGGACGAGGAGATATTTGTGAGGTTTGGGTCTCCTGCTGNTCAAATGTTGGGGACCTTTAGGAAGTTAGTTTTCTCCGTGAGATTCATTTCCTTTCTCTGTCTATCTGTCTTGCTCTCTCTCTCTCTCTTCCTGTCTCTCTTTCTCTCTCCATCCTTCCAGAGACAGACAGATAGACAAGCTAAGACCAGACCAATCTTCTCCATAATCCAGAGATAATAATGTTGCCAAAACCGGAGACCATTTGTTAAATGAAGCAGGTGGTTTAACTAATCTTAGCCTGAAGCTAACCAGGATGCCCAGGGCTATGACTTAATTGAATGGACGCTCAACTCCTCTGTGTATAATACACGGGAATATTCACTGGGTGTTCATTTGCATGATAGGGAAGGAAGGCAGGGAGGGAGGAAAAAAGAAAGGGAGGAAGAAAGGAAAGAAGGAGAGGGAGGAATAATTAGGGAAGGAAGGATGAAAAAGGGAAGAAAAAGAAGGAAAGGAGAGGAAGGGAGGGAGGGAGGAAGAGTAGGGAAGGATAAAAAAGAGAGGGAAGGAAGCAAGGAAGAAAAGGAAGGAAGGAAGGAAGGAAAGAAGGAAGGAAGGAAGGAAAAAATGACAAACTGGTTGAAGGATTCAAAGCCAGGATTGGGGGTTAAAACTGCCAAACATTTGGCCCAGTTGGATAAACCAATAAAGCCCGTTTTCTCCCGCATCTCAATTTCTCAAGGCTTCAATTCCTCCCCGGCTCATTGTGAAAAGAAATATAGATATCCGAAGCGTTGCTTAATGAAAACCAGACACCCCCCCCCCCCAAGAGAACAGAACAGCAATCTTTACAAGTCCTGGCGAACCCCGAGTTTCTTGTGATTTGATCCCCTGGATCAACGCGTCGCGTCTTCTGCCGAGCCCAGCCAAACGAAGAAATCACTTCCAAAGACACACGTAGGAGTAACACAGCCTTTTATTGCAACTTCACAACAGAGGCAGAGCAAATATCTCAGCAAAGGGAATTTTCTGCTCCGACAAGGACAGACACAACCAAATGATATATATATATTTTAAAAGAAATAACTCGCACGACAAAGCACGGGGGGACCAAACCAGAGCGATGTTTCTGGGCTTTGATGCTTAAAAAAAAAAGAATATTACCTGGCTGCAACAGGTGATAAAGATAATGTCCAGTTGCTTGAAGATGCTTGAAGGTAAACAGGTGCTGGGAATGGTTTACCCTGGAATTTCTCGCTTAAATGAAGGCGAAAACAGGAATCAGAGGGACAAGATTAAAGGTCTTGGCTGCTCCAGGGTGTCCTGGTCTTTAGAATGGGAGGCCCTGAACGCAGGCAGAGAGAATTGTTTTTTTTTCCATAAACCTGTTTGCATGATGTGTAAATTCAGGCCAGCAGCCACACCAGGTGTTTCCCCAATAGTTTCGAAGGCAGGAATTGGGGAATGGGTCTTCTACAAATCGCTTGGAATATTTGCCATGCCCCCTACCCCAAAAACTAGACACTGATACAGCTAAAACTTTGACACCATAGCAGGAAAGGACATCCAGAAGCAAGGATGGATATTGCAAGATTTTTATCTTTTTTGGGGGGGCAAACCAATTTCCTTTTGGCGCACATCACTGTGCCAGAAGTCCTAAACCGGAGTGACTTCGAATCCCCAAACAAAGTTATGTACAGAGCCCAAAATTTCTGTTGTTTAGTGAGACATTTGTTGAGTGAGTTCTGCTGCTGTTATATGACCGTTGTTGCCCCCCGTTGTTAAGCGAATCACCGTACTGTTAAGTGAGTGGCATGGTTGCAAAGTGAATCCAGGGTCTTATTTCCAGGGAATGAGGAAGCCGAATGTCTGCGGGCAGAAGAATCCGCTTCAAAAATGATCTCCAACCTCGTGACAATTGGATCGGGCTTGGATATCGCTCTCAATCTTCCCTGCTCTGAAACAGTCTACCAGACCGTTGCTAGAGGAAAGAAGCTGGCTATGTTGGCAGAAGCTGGGGCAAACCACGGGAGCTCGCTCCGTTACGCGGCGCTTCGGGATTTGAACTGCCGAACTGGCGGCCTTTTCTGATCGACAAGCTCAGCGCGCCTTAGCCGCTGAGCCGCCTTGCCGAATGAAAGACGCTTCAATCCAGCTTTGAATACACCCCTGAGAATAAAACCAGCGGGCGAGCCCGTCAATTTCAGAGGGCCACAAAGGCGGAATTGACTTCTGAGGCCAGGAAGCAGGGCAGGGCTTCCTGTTAAAAAAAAGGAACTTTTTAAACTTTGCGTCCCGGGGGACAGAAGAACCAGACGGGAATTTTCAAAGCGGTTCACGCCCCGTGGGTCCTTCCTTGCCTCTCATTAACGCCAATTAAAGAGAATATTTATTCCCCCCCCACCGCAAATCAAAGGGCTTCGGTAGATGAGACTTACTCATCCCACATCTGGCACAACACCCCGTATTCTTCTACTAGAAGTGGGGTTTGTAAGATGCCAAGAACAGCGTATTGGCCTCCAGTTCTGGAGAACCGACAGCGGGCTTCACCAAAACAGAGCCGGACGGTTCTAAACACACGACGGAGCCTGGGAACACGTAGGGCATTCCCCCATCGCCTTGTGGGTCCGAACAGCTGCCCGAACAGCTGGATCCACACGCAGGGGGTGAGGGCGGGACGCAGGCGTCTGCTGTCCCCGCCGAGCAAGGCTGGGGCTCCTCTGGGCAGGGAGAACACGGGTGCAAGGCCCCAGACTCACACGGGGTGCCAGCAGATCCCGCACATGTTTCGGTGTGCAGGGAGAGGCAAGGCGAGGCACAGGGGACGGCGGCCGCGGTGGGGCACAGGGCAGCCACGAAGGAGGGGGCTGCGCATGGCTGCTTGGCTTGGTACGAGAGGCTGCAGGCCTCGGGTGGGACACAATCGCAAGGCTGGACGCGCTGCGCCATGTCGGTGAACGTGCACGGATCCTGAGCGTCCTCCGAACACGCGGCGGCGACGGTCGGTGGAGGAAGCTCTTTGCATCTACACTGGTAAGCCATACTGGAGAGGGTTAGGACTCAGGTCTGGAAAGGAAAAATAAAAGAAAACAGCTGTGCGCTGCAATTATCCGGATTTGTACGTGGGAGCAATTATGCAAAGCGAGGGATCTCTTGCAGGGCAGACGGGAGGGGCCCAGCGGCATCAATGGGGCGGAATAACAGAATTACAGAGTTGGAAGGGACCCTGGAGGTCTTCTAGTCCAACCCCCTGCCTAGGCAGGAAACCCTAGACAAATGGCTATCCAACCTCTTCTTAAAGACTTCCAGTGTTGGGGCATTCACAACTTCTGGAACGATTTCTGTTCCACTGATTAATTGTTCTAACTGTCAGNTCTGGGATGGTCCACCTGCTGAACCCTGGCATTCTTGGACTTTCTTATAACAGGCTTTGACCACCTTGAAGACCAGGACTGTAAATTCTTCAAAACCCACATTGCCGTCACAGTCGGTGTCTAACAGATGGAGCACTGTCTCAATCGTCTTGGGGTCGTACGGGTCCTGCAAAGAAGACCCCCCCCCAAAAAAAAGATTATAAGAAGATCCATTCATCTCCTCTCGATTCCTCTCGATTATCCCCCAATACCCCGGAAGGCCTTCGCTTGTGTTCCCTCTTTTCATGGACATCTAACGGGCTTATTTTTGCAGGGGTTTTTTTGGGGGGTCCCCCTCATAATCCCATAAATAAATTAGGAAACAGGTTGAAGAATAAAATCAATACATACAAAGGATCCAAAAATAATATTCTAGAAAGCAAAATGCGGATCCGTTGCTCTTCCTACCCTCCTGCGTTCAACTACTAAGTTCTTAGGAGCTCGTCACTAGTAACTGGTGCAAACCCTTAGAAAGTTTCTTAAAAAATAACTGTGTAGGTTTAGGATAATAGACAGGGAGACCGATTCATAAATTCTGTGCACCTGGCTTGGAGGTCTCAAAGTTGAAGGACCTTTTAGGATGCAAATTTCCTCTTTGGTTGGGCTGACTTGTCTCCCCTGACCATAACGTGGTGGTTTGGGTTTAAAACTCAGTTGTGGTTCTCCAACATATTTGGAGGCACCAAAGGCCAACAAACCACAATCGCTTCTAACCATGGCTTGGTGTGTGAGCCACAGCCCAGATTTCGTCCCTTCCTACTCTCTGCTTCCAGTTGTCTACCGTTCTAGACAATCCTTCTCTGTCTCCTCCTTCCTTCTGGCCCAGGTTCTCAGCACTCACCACGATGACGTCAGCGAACTCTGTTTGAATCAGCCGTTTCAGCTCTCCTTTGCTCAAGGTACTACAGTCCCCATCATCCTTGGCATACTTCTCGAAAATGCAGATGATGCTGCGGATGTTGCGCAGAAGGTGAGACATCTCTTCACACATCTTAAGGGGTCCTGGAATGAAAGAAGAAGAAGAGAGAGAGAGGACAAGGTTGACTTGTGATGGCCATTCTCCATCTGGGTACAAAAGACTGATTGATGGTTGACAGGTAGGATTTATCACCGTTCCTCTGTCTCCAGGTGCATCTAAGCATACAAAGCTGGTGCTTTTTCAAGGAACAGTGGCTAGAGCAAAGATCCTAGTCCTCATGGACCCCAAGAAACCCCAAGATTGAAGTCGGAACAGAGGAAGCTGCAGTTGGTGTCTGCCTACCTTCTTCTGAAGCAATGTGAAGTTTGTGTCAGCCCTGGTCCTTCAACCACTACTCCAGTCCTTCCTTGCTCAGATTAGTGAACAACTTCTACGGATCCCTCATCCCACCCCATTTCCCCAGCTTCTATCTCCCAGGAGCATCAATGCATTTTCTCAGCCTCTTCCTCCAGATCTCCTCCTCCTCCTCTTTCATCTCCTTCTCCTTCTCCATCTCCTTCTTCATTTCCTTTTCCATCTCCTCCTTCAACCCCGTCTTTTTCCCCCTCCATCCTCCTCTTCTCCTCCATCTCCTTCAGCCCCCTTCCCTTCTTCTTCATCTCCTTCTCTTTCCTTTGCTCCGTCATCCCCTTCTCCATTTCTTTTTCCTTCAACCTCTTCTCCTTCATCCCCCCTTATCTATTTACTCTTATCCTCTTCTTCTTCATCTCCTTCTCTTTCCTTTCCTCCTTCGTCCCCTTCTCCATCTCTTCCTTCTTCTTCATCCCCTTCTCTTTCTTCTCCATCCCCTTCTCCTCATCTCCTCCTTCATCCCCATCTCCTTCTTCTTCATCCGTGTCTCCTTAATCTCCTCCCTCATCCCCTCCTCCTCCCTCCTCCCCTTCCCGTCATCAACGCCTTCATTTCCTTCTCCTTCTTCATCCCTTTCCCCTTCATCTCCTCCCTCATCCCCTTCTTCTTCATCCTCTTCTTCCTTTCCTCCTTCATCCCCTTCTCCATCTCTTCCTTCTCCTTCATCCCCTTCTCTTTCTTCTCCATCCCTTTCTCCTCATCTCCTCCATCCCCATCTCCTTCTTCTTCATCCCCTTCCCCTTCATCTCCTCCCTCCTCCCCTTCTTCTTCATCCTCTTCTTCCTTTCCTCCTTCATCCCCTTCTCCATCTCTTCTTTGTCCATCCCCTTCTCTTTCTTCTCCATCCCTTTCTCCTCATCTCTTCCTTCATCCCCATCTCCTTCTTCTTCATCCCCTTCCCCTTCATCCCCTCCCTCATCCCCTTCTTCTTCATCCTCTTCTTCCTCTCCTTCCTCGCCTCCTCCTCCTCCTCCTCCCTACAATACTCAGGGCTTCCTTCTCTTCAAAAGCTCCACGGTTTCGCCTCTTCTCCTTCCATCCATCCTTTGGCCCACCTCCCCCTCCCTCCCCACTCACCTGTTCATCAAGTTCCAGCCTTGCAGAAAAATCACGCCGTTCGGTTGGAGAGGCAGCCGGCAGCTGATACCTTTTTATACCGAGCCTTCTTAATCACGGCTCGGCGGCGGGAACCTCCCTCTTCCAGGGTGCCCCTCTGATTCAGCCCCCAGCTACGTGGCTCCTTCACTCACCCCCCACAACTCAACCTCTCACCTGGCCTTCCACACCTCCCACCCCCGCCCAGGTGAAGAAGAGATTTCCGACACTTCTGTCGTTTTTAACGGGGCATCACACCTGACCGAGCCGGTTGCGCAAGGGCGAGACTGATAAAACCGGGGCTTTTTCCTTTCAAAAAAAGTTTATGTTTGACGGGTTTGATGTTTTTCTTTCCCCGTAGCTGCTAAAGAAACTCATTAAGGAGGCAAAACCCACAAACACTTAACGCACCCTTCCACCCCGCCTTTTGTTTCCACTGACCCCGCAGGTGATTTTTTTCCTGCCGTCGTTTTGTCACCCTGCAATGCAGGCACGTGGCCAAATCGTTCCGACACCTTCTCTTTCTTCGCAGAGGTAGAGCTCTAAGGTAGACTGCGTCCGGATGAGGAGGCTCTATTCTTCTTTCTCCAGCCTCAGAAAACGAGGAGTCAGTCTGGGCCAGGTCCCAGATCCATTCCAAAGATGTCTAGGGCTAACATCATTTTGTTAAAAAAAAGAAAAAAAGAGAGAGATATTTCTAGCCCAAGACTGGAAGTTTTTAAGGAGATGTTGGATGTCCGTTTGTCTGAATTGGTGTAGGGTTTCCTGCCTAAACGGGGGGTGGGGCTAGAAAACCTCTAAGTTCCCTTACAACCCTGTTCTTCTATTCCATTCTGTTCTGTTCTGTTCTATTCTTGGAGGTCTTCTAGTCCAACCCCCTGCTCAAAATGCAGAATAACAGAGTTGGAAGGGACCTCGGTGGTCTTCTAGTCCAGCCCCCTGCTCAGAATACAGAATAACAGAGTGGGAAGGGACCTTGGAGGTCTTCTAGTCCAGCCCCCTGCTCAAAATATAGAATAACAGAGTGGGAAGGGACTTTGGAGGTCTTCTAGTCCAACCCCCTGGAAATGAACTTTGCATAAAATAATGTACGTGGTACCCTCGGCAAGTATCAGATATTTCTTCACTGTGGACCATAATTTCATTTCCATAAAAACAACTTGTTTGGAAGGAAGGAAGGAAGGAAGAAGGAAGGAAGGAAAAGAAAAGGAAGGAAGGGAAGGAGAAGATGGAGAAGGAAGGAATATAGAAGAGACGGAGAGAGGGAGGGAGGGAGGAAGATGAAAGGGAAGGCAGGAAAGAGAAGCAGGCAGGGAGGGAGGGATCTTAGGAAGGAAGGGAGGGAGGAAAAGGAAGGAAGGGAAAGAAAGAAGGAAGGAGGAAGGAAGGAAGGAAGGGAAAGAAAGAAGGAAGGAAGGGAAAGAAAAGGAAGGAAGAACAGAAGGAAGCAGGGAGGGAAGGAAGGAATATAGGAGGGAGGAAAGAAGGAAAGGAAAGGAAGGAAGCTGGAAGGGAAGGAGTAATAGAGGGGAGAAATATAGGAGGGAGGGAAAGGAAGGAAGGAAGGAAAGAAAGAAAGATCAAGGAGGAAACCTTCCCATTTGCAAATTTTTCAAACCACACAACAAAGCGGAAAGAGTGATTTTCATAATGGAAAAAGTCTCTGGTTGCATCAGCAGAGGGAGCCCGTTACTCAGAGTCCCAGCATATAAAGGAGAACATTTGCATTCATTTAATTGCAGAGATCAGCTCAGGTTAACGTTTTTTTAAAAAAAGATAATTTATGTAGATTTTATTTGAGGGCCATTGTCGTCCCCCCTCCCAAATTCCAATAGAAGACAAAACTTTAAAAAACAATCAAAATATTAAAAAAGCAAAAAGGGCATTAAAAAAAAGACCAACACACACATACACAAACACACACATTAACCCCCTACTATAATAATGATTAATACATTACTATGATATTAGTGGGACGTGGCAGCTCAGTGGCTAAGACGCTGAGCTTATCTATCAGAAAGGTCGGCAGTTTGGCGGTTCGAACCCCCAGCGCCACGTAATGGAGTGAGCTCCCGTGACTTGTCCCAGCTTCTGCCAACCTAGCAGTTCGAAAGGACGTAGAAAATGCGAGTAGAAAAATAGGAACCACCTTTGGTGGGAAGGGAACAGCGTTCCATGCGCCTTCGGCGTTGAGTCATGCCGGCCACATGACCACAGAGACGTCTTCGGACAGCGCTGGCTCTTTGGCTTTGAAACAGAGATGAGCACCGCCCCCCTAGAATCGGGAACGACAAGCACAGATGCGCAAGGGGAACCTTGACCTTCATATTAGTGATTTTCATTTTTTTAAAAATGAA